TTGCATTCACGTGCAGGTACACATATATACTTAATAAATTATATTAATAAATCTTTTAAAAAAGAAACACAATAAATATATGTGGATAATGCTTTAATCTGTCTTGGGTTGCCATAGTGAAATACCACAAACTAGTTAGTGTAAAGAGCACAGGAATTTCTCAGTTCAGGGTTGGAAAGTCCAAGATCAAGGTGCTTGCAGATTTAGTACATGGTGATTTTGTGTAAGTTTCCTCTGAGACTGAAACATTCTATCTTGCAGGAAAGCTCCTTAAGCAGGAAGGTAAACAATTCAAAAGAGCTTCAGGAAGTCCCTGAAACCAATCATATTCACAACCCCCTCCAAAAACAACAAACAAACAAACAAACAAACAAAACAATGAACTTTGACAGTCCCTCTCAGACTGAGCAGAGCTAAGCTGCAGAAAAGACTCAGGGAAGTCATGCTACAAAGGAGACTCTGATGAGTGTAGCAGCAACCTGGAAGAAGCAGAAACCAACTGAGCTGCCTGGAAGAGGTTTAGACCAACTGAAACAACTGGGAAGGACACTGTCTACAGTGTGCTTCAGGGTCCCAGCTTTGTGAGCTGTCACTTGTGCTGGTGTGTGCCTTGATGATACAGCTGTCTTTGAGTCATTTCTGTTCACCCGTATTCCTATAAGTAACCCTAATAAAACTCATGGTTCACCAAGTTGGACTGTAGTGGTATCTTTACTTTGGTCTGTCATGTGTTTCCCCTCTGGGGTGAATAGACATGTTGCTTCTCCCCAGAAAAATGTTTTGCCACACAACAGGTGAGGATTCTCACTTTCTAGAACACAGGTACTATGGTCCAGCTGAGTCATCACAAGGTCTTTCCCTGAGGTCTCCTTATAAAGGCACTAATTTTATTTGTGGTTAGATTATTTTAATCATCTCAAAAACCTCAACTCCTAAGACTATCACCTAGGGGCTTAGAAGTTCAGCACACAAAATTTGAAGGAATACAACACTCAGATCAGAGCTAAAAGAGCATATGAACAGCTCATTGAAGAAACTTATTACTAAGTGTAATTTTGTTATTTAACAAAAGTAATAAAAATGCTGATCATCACTGGGCAGTGGTGGCGCACACTTTTAATCCCAGCACTTTGGAGGCAGAGGCTGGTGGATCTCTGTGAGTTCGAGAACAGCCTGGTCTACAAGAGCTAGTTTCAGGACAGCCTCCAAACCTCAGAGAAACCCTGTATCAAAAAAACAGAAAAAAAAGGGTGATCATCAGTGGAATTTTAAAATAATTTTAATTAGGAAAAAGTTGAAATGCAAATGAAATGTTATTGAGGAGGGCATAGTGGAAGTGGTATCTTCCAATATTGCTATGGTAGATTAATATATCTTTATAGAAACAATTATTTTCATCCAGTGATTATGGTTTTGAAAATTAATTCTAAGAATTGGCTCCAAAAGATGGTAATTAGCTTTCCATCTCTGTGGCAGCAGAAATAACCAGCTTTAAGAGGCAGGTTTTAATCATTGATTATTAACTTTTAAGGTAAAATACAAAGTGAAGGATTTTATTAGGGCAGCTTCTTACATATGGGAAGGTTTATTTTTGGCTCATAGTTGTGTAGGTTTCAACTTATGGTTCCAGAGCCTACTGGCAACACCAGAATACCATGTGACAAGGGAGATCTACTTACCCTAGTGGTCACTGGGAACCAAAGGAAGACAGGATAAGGTTGGGATCCCAAAATCCCCTCTGAGGGCATGCCCCCAATGACCTAACTTCCTTCTACTTCATTTTAAGTTTTTATTTATTTTGTTTTTTTTTTTTTGAGAGAGAAGATAGCTAGCTCCGACTAGCCTCTAACTCATCATGTAGTCATGAAAACCCTTGAACTCCTAATCTCCTGCCTCCATGGTAATTCCTCCCAAAGTACTGGGATTTCTATGGGCCACTATGTGTAGCTTCTACCTTGCAGTAGCCCCACGAACTAGGGCCCATGCCTTTAAAATAAGTGCCTTGAGGGGGCATGTTAAAGTTATACCGTGCAATGTTTATAATCTGTATGTGCATATTTAGAACTGAAGTGCTTATTATTTATAATAAAAAGTTAGAATCAACTACTAACAAGAGATTAAGTGAATTATGGTATTCCATTCAAAAGATAGTAAGACAGTATACAATTTTGTAATAATATTGAAAATACACTATGGCTAAAAACAATCCAGTAATGTGTTTTAAGGAAAAAAAGACCAGAAAAGCAGAAATGCCTTTATTGAAAATAAGTATGAAACATACTCTTCTAAAACTAAAAACAGAAAGAAAAAGGAAAAGAGCTAAAAACAAAATTGTATCAGACTATGATTACAACACTTATAGATGAATGGACTGTTCAAATGATGGAGTTTCTCTGACATTCTTGTTTCCCATTCATGAGAATAACAAAAGTTCACCCATTGAGGAATGGTTTCTGAGGCTAATCATTTTGCAAGCAGTCCACTTCTGCTTTCTTTTTTTCCTTTGCTGGTCTACTGAATTAGGCAGTTCTAAATTGTAAGGACTAGAAAAGACCTATCAATTGAATGTATTCAACACAAAAGGAAGAGATGAGAATTGGACACACCACCCAACATCCACATCATAGTCACCACCAGAGTCCCATGGCAGACAACTCTTCAGCCAACTGTTCCTCCCAGATGGGGTGAGGATCCTGACCAAATTCACGGTGCTGATTCTACTTTGGGCTGTGATTTCATAGCCTGGATTTTGTTTTCATAAGTGAAGTCAAGACAGGGCAATCCTAAAGACATATCATTTTTCAAACTATCAAAATGCACCTTCACATTTACCTGTGGTTTCCCCTGCTATGGTGTTAGTGTCAGGGCTACTCTGTGCCTGCCCACCACCACTCCCTTTTGGTTTTAATTCCCTCACTTCCTCTCCTTCTTTCCTGATAGTGTCTTGCTGTGGAGCCAAGGCTGGTCCCAAACTTGTGACCTTTTTGCCTCCATCTTCAAAGAGCCAGTAAGAACACAGGCATTTATCAGCCTTCTTCCCTTTCCTCCCCTTACCTCTTTTCTACCCCCTCTCCTGTCTCCTTTCTTCCCTTCTTTCCCCATTTCTTTCTGAGACACAGTCTTGCTGCATTACTCAGGCTAGCCTTGATGCCATTGTGTAGCCCAAACTAACCTCCAATTTGTGAGTCTTCTGCTTCAGCTCCCCAGACATGGTATAGCAATTATCTTTCTTAAGATTCATTTCAAGACATTGTCTTATTTTTGAGAAAAAAAAATGCTAACACTGCAAACAAATGTTGGCCATTCTGGGTCAAGCAGTGCCAAAGGACCTGATCTCTTGCATGCTTTAAAGCAAACTTTAAAGGAGCTAAGAGTACAAAACATGTTATACAACACATGTTTGATATGTGTAAGACCCTGGGTTCCATTTGCAGCACCACAAAAATAAAAAATAAAATAAAATAAAAGTCCTCTGTTACTGCAAAAGACAGTATTATCAGTTAGGTTATTACAAGAGGTGAACTGTATCTGGTTTGTCTGCAGACAGTAACAATGACATAAGCAGACAGCTGGGGACATGCCAGACGGGAAGCATGTCTGACTGGTGAATGCAGACTGGATTCCCATTTGCCGAGCTGCACCTGCCAGACTGGAAGCCCCTGGTGCTTCAGTCATGAAGAGCACATCCTGTTAGGGCTTTCAGGCCGGAGGACGCAGGCCTCTGGCTCCACCCTGCAGTGCTGGCACAGAACCAAGTCTGGGCTGACTTCGCTCCCCAGCTTGCCAGGCACTGCCTTTCCAGTACCATCAGGCTTCAAGCCAGAGTCTCAAGTTATATACTACACCAGTGGCCTGAAAGTGGTACTACTCCTCCCATGCTAGAGTGGGAGAGTTCCCTTCCCACCTCTTTTCCCAAGTCATTTCTATTTCTATCTCTCTGCACCATACTCTGGAAAAGGGTTTGTAAGGTTGAAGAGTAGAGAAGAAAGACCTAGAGTCAGTTTGTCCTACTGACCATGATTCTGAACTAAGAACATGTGAAGCTCTTAATAATTTTAACTTTGTGAGGGGATGGAGAGATGGCTCAGAGGTTTAGAGCACTCGCTGCTCTTCCAGAGGACACAGGTTTAATTCCCAGAACCTACATGGTAGCTTACAACTGTTTGTAACTCCAGTTCCAGGGGATACACATAAAGTTAAATCAATTTTAAAAATACAGAATAATTTTAACATTGTGAAAGAAAACGAGTCAATTAGTGACTTTGACAAAGACACATCATATGAAGGCCTAGACCTTTCTTGGGCCTTGAACCCCTACTACTTTTCATCAGTATATGATCCTGATGATAAAATACCAGGGCAACCTCAAACCGGTTTCCTGGATTGACTGACTTTAAGTCTCCAGGCATTCATCACTGTTGTCAGTAGTTCATTTTAAGTTTTGAGAGGAAAAAGAAACTGAGAAAGGGAAAACTTTAATTTTCACCTATTTCTCAGAAAACAGAGAAAGAGAATAAGAATATAGGAGTGAGAAATTATGATGTTCCATTTTTTTTCTTGTAAGACACCAGAATAGATGTCCTGGCTGACAGTAGACACAAACAAGCTCTTACTAAAGAAGGTCAAAGAAGCACAACTTTAAAAAGAGCATTTCCCAGTACTTCTAGTTCCACATGTCCTGTGTGTAGGGTATATATTTATACACACACACACACACACACACACACACACACACATATATATATATATATATATATATATATATATATATATATATGTATCAGAAGGAGGAAAGTGGAGCAGAAAAAGGTTTTGAAGGAATGATGACTGATATTTTAAACATTTCAATGAAAGACATATTTGCAGACATGAGATTCAAGAAGCTGAAAAACAGAAAAGTCCACATCAGTATATGTCATACTCAAATTGCTGAAAGCAATGATTCAATGCAAGTTTTGAAAGCAGTGAAGAAAAATGATATAGGATTATAAGAGACATACCTGATCAACAACTCACTTCTCAAGAGAAACTATGAGACTAGAAGAAAATGGAAAAATACCATTAAGTATTAAAAGAAAACAAGTAAAATATAAAACCCAGAATTTTTACATTTTATTTTGCATGTGTTTATTATACGTGGGTATGCACATGTGTAGAAGTTAGAGGAAGACTTGTGGGAGTTGATTTTCTCCTCCACCTGTTGGGTCCAGAGAGCAAACTCAAGTCATCAGGCATGACAGTGGAAGCCTTTATCCATTGAGCCATCTCACTGGTCGTAACTTAGAATTTTACACCCACTGAATGTAAACTTACACTCAAATGTGAAAGCAAATAACATTTAAGTTTTTATATAAAATGTAAGAACTTGTGACCAACAGACCTGCACTCTAGCTTTAAACACTTAAGAGAGTTATTTAAAGGGAATTAAATAGACACTCTGGTCCTCAGGAAAGAATGAAGAACACCAGAAGTAACAAAGGTCTAGGTAAATCAGGATGGTTTCTGTTGGCCACAGCCTCTTAATTTCTTTATAAATTATTTGTTTAAGACTAAGGTTATAGCATTGCCATAGGCACTCTATTAGTGGCAAAGGTCTTATGTAAAAGACAAGTTTCTCATGGGCTTCCTATGTGATGACATTTATCTTGTGGGATGGTTGAAATTGGGATTCTGTATTTCTGTCTGTTCTAGCCTGTTCTCACCATGACAGACTTGTTTTGAGAATAGACTGAGTAGGATTTTGGATGGAGAATGGGAACTTTGAAAACTACAAAAGGGAAAATTGAGAGGATCTATGTGGCTGGCAGGAGCATAGATATATGGAAGGGAAAAAGCATGTGATTAGATGTCCCCATGGTAAAACCTTGGTTTACAGTAACAGGCCTAAGAACCTATTCGAGATTTTGGCAGAAGCGGAGAACCAAATGTGATATGTATAGTCTACTCCCTGTCTGCTTTAACTTTCCTCTCTACAGTAATTGCTAATCGTTCATAGAATCGACAAGAATGTCTCTGACTTAGGCAGGACTTGCTATTTCATCACCTTTGCTAGAGGTGAACAAAGGATAGATTTGGGAGATTCTGAGGGAATTCACAGGTTCAAGACCTGTGCATGAGTGGAGGAAGATAATGACCTGGGAGGGTGGATGCATCATCTACCTGAATCATGAATGCCTGAAGACTAAGGATGATGAGAGCTCTGGGTGGACCTCACAGGCTGACTGAGTACCTCAGGTGCTGACATTCTTGGTGAACACTGGGTGCCCTGGAATTTGGCAAAAGACAACATAAGGAGAGAAGGGTGTGGCTGGTGTTTCAACCCTCAAAAGAAAATGACTTTTTTTTTTTTTTTTCTGTATGAGTGGAGAAAGAAAGGTCTGGAAGCAGCAAGAACATTTCTTGGATGGCTTCCGTGTTTCCCTCCCAAGTTCCATTCTTTAGCTTGTGGAACAGAGCTGTGGTTAGCAAGGCCCGCCTAGGAGTCTGAGAATCCCTCACTTCTTTGCTTCCCTCATTACTTGTAACTAACCACTAAATGTGTAACAGCATTGATTTATCCCAGTGTCACATATGTATGTATGTATGTATGTAGAGAAGCACAGTTATTGGAGGTCCTTATACTCTGTTTGACAGGATAGACAGGTTGGTCTCAAGTTCTGAATAGAAACCTGAGTTGTTGATTTGGTGCTTGGGATACTACAGACAGGCATACAGAACCCCAACTCACCTCAGAGACTGTTAGCTTTGTAGTTTCTTTTAGGGAGACTTTTAAATGCCCCCCCCTCGGTGTCCTTCTCCTCCCAAGGATTTGGCAGCTTCTTCAACAGAAAAAAGACAAGGTAAATATTACTAGGTCCAGAACATCAGAACACAAGTGACACTAGTCAGTGATGGGAGGAAGTGGATATTAAGTATCTGCCTATTAGGAATAAATAAAATCAGTTTATTTGCAGTATTGTGGTGAGGGTTCTGAGGCTTAGAGGTTTGGATGTGGGCATGGCTAGGGAAGTTTGGAAACAGTAACAGGTGCTTAAGGGTGCTTTCCTTAACCCAAGCAGCTTGTTTATAGAGGGAGAAGCCTTATTTACTGCTCCCCAGGAAGTGAGGGACCTCCTAAACTGATACCAAGGAGTCAGGTGTCTATGTGTCACCAGAGCTCAGGACCTGTCTGTCAGGTCTTGGTCAAGTCCTAATCGAAGAGTTAAGAAAAACACTTTGAGAGCAAGAAAAGCCTGTTTAGCACCACCAATGTTTGCTAAATTCCTCCTAAGATTTGGTTGTCCAATTCAGTCAGGCCTGAGTATTGCAATCATCTCATTCAGGTCAGACTTGATTCCTTCATTTGCCCCAACAGGTAAAAAATGAAGCCCTAGGGGCATCTATCTACACAGGTCTCTCACATTTCAACAGAAATCATAGGGATATGAATGTTTCAAAAACATTCATTTATTTATGGGATTTTTGAAACAGTTTATATATAGCGTATACTGGCCTCAAACTCATGATGATCCTTCCGACTCAGCCTCTTGAGTTCAGGGATTCCAGACTCGCCGGTTCAGGTTATGAGTTTTCCATCTCAGCACAGTTGCCTCAAATGAAATCTTAGTTAGACCCCTCCATTTTGCTCATTAGGACCCATCATTTTTTTCACCCTAATCTAAAGAAAGCCTTTCAGTTGGGGGAGTGTTGTCTTTGTCAAATCGATAGCCCTAGATATAGATGGTGACCAGTCTGGTCTTTGTGAGGGGTCCACACAATAGAAAGGGGTGACAGAGAGAAATTCTGAATTTGAGTAAGATGGGTAAGAATGTCTCTAGCTTCCTCAGGAAGAAACTGGGGCAGTCTTCCTGTGAGGAGCGTGCTCTTCCATGAGAACAGGGTCAAGGATGCTCCTTATCGGAGTGTGTGTGTGTGTGTGTGTGTGTGTGTGTGTGTGTGTGTAAGATGGTGAATGGATGGCCGACTCTGGGGTGTGGTTAATTTCTTTAGGGGAGTCCCTGAGAAGGGTCTACCTCAAAGGTGGAGGGAACCCCTTCGCACCTCTACTTTCCCTATTCTCAGGAAATTGTAGCTCCCACATCAACGAAGAGACCTTCAGCGAATAAGAAGGTTCCAGAGCGAGAGAGAGCAAGTTCCATGTGTGAGTCCACCAGAGATGTCCTGGGACCTTTCCATAAACCTTGGGGTCCAGTTTGGCAGGAAACGTCCCACCCAGCCTCCGCATGTCACCTCGGAGAGGAGGAGCCAGGTGGGTCGCAGCAGCTCCTGGAAGGGCTGTTAGCTCTGGGGCTTCTGGACGTCGCGGGAAGAGGAGCGCTTCGGCCCTCGCCCTCGCGGTCTAGGGCTCCACGGTTCTCGGGGTGAGGAGGCACGCCTCGCAGTGT